TCATTGATGATTTCTTCAGAGGCTAGTAGTCCATGTTATTAGTTTTGTGAAGAAACGATATTTGGCTTCGTTGATTATATCATTTACACGTACGCTATTTCAGTAATTTCTGCTCTTCTATTTGTGTGCCCTTTTAAACTTTTCTTTGGATTTCCTTTGCTGTTCTGTTTGTATCTCCTTGTGAATTCTGTCCTTCCTTTCCCACATACTCATTTACTTTGTCTACACATTTCTAAGTACTGATATCACTTTATGCCACACATTTTGATATGGTACTTTTTTTCTTTTCTTTTTTTTTGAGACAGGGTTTCATTCCATCACCCAGGCTGGAGTCCAGTGGCACAATCTCAGCTCACTGCAAACTCTACCTCCAGGGCTTGAGTGATTCTCCCACCTCAACCTCCCGAGTAGCTGAGACTACAGGCACATGCCACCACACCTGGCTAAATGTGTGTGTGTGTGTGTGTGTGTGTGTGTATTTTTTTCTGTAGAGATGGGGTTTTGCCATGTTGCCCAGGCTAGTCTCAAACTCATGGACTCAAGTGATCTGCCCACCTCGGCCTCCCAAAGTTCGGGGACAACAAATGTGAGCCACCATGCCTGGCCTGTGGTACTTTCTTAGTAGTGGGAAATATTTCACATTTCCATTATGATTTCTTCATTGACACATGGGTTATTTTAGCAGTATAATTCTCATTTTGAATATATAAGAATCTCTGGTTATAATTTATTTCTAGCTTAAAAGGTAAAAGTATTGACAGAGAACATACCCTATATAATTTCAATATTTTTAATTTATTTAAATTTACTCTAGGGCTTATAATATCATCAATTTGTGTAAATGTCCCATGTATGCTTGAAAAGAATGTGCGTTAAGTAGTCCCACAGCACAGTTTTGTTTATTTGTTTGAGATGGAGTTTCACTGCAGTGCAGTGACGTGATCTCGGCTCAGTGCAACCTCCGCCTCCTGCGTTCAAGCGATTCTTGTATCTCAGCCTCCCAAGTAGCTGGGATTACAGGTGCATGCCACCATGCCCGGCTAATTTTTTGTAGAGACAGGGTTTCACTGTGTTGGCCAGGCTGGTCTCAAACTCCTGGCCTCAAGTGATCCATCTGCCTCAGATCACTTAGATGTGTGAGCCACCGCGCCCGGCCACATGGATCACTTAGATGTGTGAGCCACCACGCCCAGCCCCATGGTGTGCTGTTGTGTATGTGCGTCAATCCGGCCAATTGTGTTAGGGAGCCTGTTCCAACCTTCTACATCCCTCCTGATTCGTTCTATCAATTTCTGAGGAAGATATGCTAAAACCTCCCAAATATGATTGTGAATATGTGTGTGTCTTCTTTTAGTTCTTTACATGCTGAGGCCAGGAGAGGAAAAAATGGAATGATTTTGTGTGTGTGTGTGTGTGTGTGACGGAGTTTTGCTCTTGTTACCCAGGCTGGAGTGCAATGGCGCGATCTCAGCTCACTACAACCTCTGCCTCCTGGGTTCAGGCAATTCTCCTGCCTCAGCCTCCCAAGTAGCTGGGACTACAGGCGCGCGCCACCATGCCCAGCTAATTTTTTTGTATTTTTAGTAGAGATGCGGTTTCACCATGTTGACCAGGACGGTCTCAATCTCTTGACCTCATGATCCACTTGCCTCGGCCTCCCAAAGTGCTGGGATTACAGGCGTGAGCCACCACGCCTGGCCTTGGAATGATTTTTTAAACCCACAACAGTGTTAATACAAAGTAAGGCAGGAAATCCCCTCAGAAGAGGTGGGATAAACCAAAAGCACAAAGCAAGAAGGTCTGTTCAAGCCTAAACGGATCAGTCATTCGATCACATTTAAATGGATTAAGGGCTCCCAGTGAAGAGCAAAATTTGTCAAGATGGTTTATGAGATAAAATCTGTAGGTTCTGCATAGGAGCCACATCCAGAACACAAATCCACACAAAGGGCAACAGCATGCCTGGTGCTCTTGACCAAGAACTCTTAGAGGGAGCAGTGAACTGTGGTGCTTGCACCCCCCCAGGCCAGCCTCCTTTCATTAGGTTTCCCAGGGTGGCCAGGAAATCATAGGGACACGAGGAGCCCATTCATTTGTATTTTGAAGCAGAACCTTCACATGTTGCTGCCTGCTGGGGAACTCTGACTGGCACACTGGGAAGGTTGCACCCAGGTCAGCCAGGACCTGTTCGACCAGCCACCCTCCAGGATGGGGTTAGCAGACCTGGAGCCTTCTCTGTCCCCAACCTCAACCCCTGGAACTCCTTTGAGTTCCAAAAGGTCCTTCAGTTTTCCCATCAAAGCGACCATATTTCCTCTTCCAAGCCACAGCGTACAGTTCTTAGAGGAGACGGGCACAGTACCGAAGACCTACACGCATCCAGATTTCCCAATGGATCCCTGATGCTAGAAAGTGTTTCAGTGACTGCGGACAGATCCTGTGTGCACCCCGGGAGTCCTGTGGGAATTCCCCCGATGCTCCCTGGAAGTCTCGAATGTTCTAGAGGATGTCTGGGAGAGGAGGCAGCATGCTGGTGGCACAACCTGCCCCAGCCCAGTGTGGGTCCCCATGGAGCTCCCTTTTACAGGGGTCAGAGCCTTTCTCAGCAACTCAGTATTTCTGAATCCACAGGGTAAGTCCAGCTTAGACCAAGGAGCTGAGTTCCCCCAAATGAAAACTGTGTCAATATTTACTCCAAGAAGGCAAGAGCCCAGTCCTTCGTGGATCCTGGGATCAGGAATGGCTGGTGGTCACAAGGACGAACTCTCCCGGCTGCTCTGTGTGGGGCACAGACCTAGACCTAGAAACCTGCTTCTGAGGGAGGGACATGGCTGCAGACCATGGGACTTCTTACCACTTAAACCTTATAATACACATTCTTAGAACAATTTCAAACTTATACAGTCCAGCTGGATCTGGACCACCTAGACCAGGCTGTCCTGAATACCGTCATCTGTCCTAGCAGGCAAAGGCCAGGAGGGGGCATCTGTGCTGGCACTAGTGAGGCTCAAGCTCTCTTCCCAGCTCTGCTGGTTGAAGTCTGCCTGTGATAGTCACTTAAAACTACCACGCTCATTTGTCAGTGCCTGACAACTAGGGTTTGTGTGATGGCTGTTTGTGAAGCCAGCAAAGCAAAACCACGTGAATGTGCCACACGTTAAGGTGGTCCCTCTCCCATTGAGCCGACAGCCCAGTGGCCTCAGCTTAGAAGTGAAAGGAGAGAAGGGGATACAGGCAGGCAGGATGGGATTGGACCAGCTGCAGCAGGGGTGGGCACGAGTCCTCTCCTCACAGCCAGTCAGGACACGGGTGGTTTCTCTTGTCAACCCTCCTGTGAAACTGTGTCCCACCCCTTGCTGTGTCCCTGAAAGATGCTCCCCACCTATTATCACAAGGAGAGCGCCTCAGGCCGGGGGAGCCTAGAGCCTTTGTCTCCCGGATTCTGTGCAAGCACGGCTGTGAGCAAAGAGCCTCTGTATTTAAACATCCTACTTGCATGACCTTAGGGTCTGTTTCCAGTCACTTTGGGGCTCACTCTAGACCTGAAAGCATCTTCCCATCCCTTTGTGATACTCAGTCTCTAACGGGTACTCCCTGTGCCTGGTGTCCTTGCCCTGCTACTTCCACAGGGTGGCTAAGGGCAAGGGCTTCAGCTCCCAAGCCCCTTGCTCAGCTGCAGGGCACTTAGGCTCCAGATGTGTTCCCAGTGACCCTTTATTTAGGGAACACACCAGGCCCTGCAGCCACAAGGCACTGCTCCTGTAGTCAAGGTGGGCAGCTGGCATGGCCCAGGCCACAGTGCTGGTATCCCAGGCTCCTCAGGGACCTGAAGGCAGGGCCAAGTGTGCCAGCCCACACCAGGCTGGCCCTGCCAGGCAACAGGTACACACACAGTTCCTGAAGCCGCCTCAGGTCAGATGAGGGATTTGGGGCACACAGGTTGCACTTTGCCTGTTGGGAAGATGCTGTGAGGGATTGATAGCCAGGCCGGTTCCCATGTACTGCCAAGCACCAGCTGAGGGGGCCGTGAGAAGGCACATTCCACTCACCAGCACAGAAGTGGGCTAGCAACACCTGGTCATGCCTTTTCCCAAGACAAACCCAAGAGGACTGGCCCAGCCCTTCCGGTGTGTTACAGGCTGAACCGTGCCCCTCCCCAAACATATATGGTGAAGGCCTAACCTCCAGTACCTCCAAATGTGACCTCCCTTGGAGAGGGGTTCTTCTTTTTTTTTTTTTGAGACGGAGTTTCGCTCTTGTTACCCAGGCTGGAGTGCAATGGCGCGATCTCGGCTCACGGCAACCTCCGCCTCCTGGGTTCAAGCAATTCTCCCGCCTCAGCCTCCTGAGTAGCAGGAATCACAGGCATGCACCACCATGCCCAGCTAATTTTTTGTATCTTTAGTAGAGACGGGGTTTCACCATGTTGACCAGGATGGTCTTGATCTCTTGACTTCGTGATCCACCCGCCTCGGCCTCCCAAAGTGCTGGGATTACAGGCTTGAGCCACTGCGCCCGGCCGGAGAGGGGTTCTTTAGAGAGGTCCTCAGGTTAAAACGAACTCATTAGGGTGGGTCACAACCCCATACAACTGCAGCCCTGATAGGAAGGGGGAATTTGGAGTCAGATGTGTAGAAAACGCCATCTGAACAGGAAGACAGACATCACAGGCAAGGAGAAGCCAGAGGCAGATCCCCACTCTCAGCCCAGAGAAGGAACCGACCCTGACAACACCTGGACTCCAGACTTCTGGCTTCCAGGACAGAGACAGCAAGTGCTGCGGTTGAAGCTGCCCAGTCAGGGGTCCTCTGTGCAGCAGCCGCAGGGGACTCACAGAGTATGTGTTCCGGGAGTCCTGTGGGAATTCCCCCACCCTTTCTGGCCCTCTTGAAAGTTCTCAAGGTTGTCTGGGAGAGGAGGCAGCGTGTGGTTGCACAACCGGCCCTGCCCCGGTGTGGGCTCCCCTGGAGCTCCCTTCTACAAGAGGCAGGTCCTTCCTCAGCTAGTCACGTCTTTAATTTCGGAATCCACAGGGGTAAGTCCAGCTTAGACCAAAGGGCTGAGTTCTGCCAAATGAAATCTGTGCCCATATTTACTCCAAGAAGGCAAGAGTCCAGCTCTTCATGGCTCCTGGGATCAGGAATGGCTGGTGGTTAGGAGGCACTCTCCTGGCTGCTCTAGCTGTGTGGGGCGCACATGGCCTGCGCACACCACCCACGTACAAGCTTGGGCAGTTCCAGTGGGAAGGACAGGAGAGGGAAGCAGCGTTGGATTGAATCCCAGGAAGGCCAGACAGAGGCTGAGCAAGGCAGCCCCACAGCAGCCTCCCGAGCAAACAGCACCTGCGGTATCTGCACAGTTGGGACAAAGGGCAGGGCTCCCAGCAACAGGAAGAGAGATTGCATCCCCTGGGAGGGTGGCCTGGGGTCGGGTGACGGGGCTTCCACGACACCACTGTACCCTCAGCAAGAATAAGCAGAGGTGGGGATGAGGAATGCCATTAATGCGCCCCCCACCTTGGATCCCTGTGCTCCCCGCCCCACAGTTCCTCCTGGAGGGCTCTTGGGACTCCTCCCAGCAGGCTGCTCGGCTCCTTGGGCCGGTCTGGGATCCCGGCTGGTGCCACTCTCGAGTTCGGCATGTCTGTATCCGCACTGGTGGCAGGAGAGGCTCCCTGCGGGGGTAAGGCAGCGGGCACTAAAGGGGGAACGGGACTCTGGCGGCCCCCGGCATGTCCCAGGAGGGAGTGTGCTGCTGGTGTCGTGTGGCAGCTGGGTGCGGAGGACCGCAGCTGCTGGGAAGGGCTGCGGTGGAGCCCTGGAGCTTCTGCCGGCGGAGCATCTGGAGGCAGCAGAGGTGCCAGGTGAGCGGTCCCTCTGGAGAGTCCTGGCCGGTCACCAGCCCTGCAGCCCTCTCCCTGGCTGCGCAGAATCTTCGGTTTAGGCCTGGTGGGGCCCTTCTGCCTCCAGTAGGGTAGGTGTCTGTGACCAGGGCCATGAGCCCAGCGAGGTCCCCGAGGGAGGGTCCACATCCAGGAAGCTTGGCCCATCAGCCCAGGGCCTTGGGGGCGCCTCCCCAGCCGATTCACCTGGGTCCTCATGGTGGCCACCTCCTGAGCCAGGCCTGCCAGCGCTGTGGCGAGCCGATCCAGCTTCTCTGCGAGGGCAGCACCAAGGCTGTGCAGCTCCTGCTGCAGGGGCTTCCCACAGGGGCACGGCGGCTGCGGGGACATGACTGGCAAAGCAGGAGGTGCGGCTTCCAGAGGGGGCAGCTCCGGAGCCAGAGACTCACGGGGCGGCTCAGGCGGGCCCTGGGGAAGCAGCTGCCCATGGGTCTTGGCTAAAACCAGAGCAAGGACTGGTCAGAGTTCCTGGTCTGTAAGGACCCGTCTCTCCCCAGCGGTACCCTGAACTAGGGCCTCCTCTAAGGCCCGGCTTCCAGAAGGGAAGGAAGGCGAGTCGGGACTGAGAACACTGATGCCAATGCTTATGACATGAAAACTGGTTGCATCTCCTGGCTGTTCCCCATACTGACAGGCAGGGTACCCGCAGGCTGGGTTTCCATGCTGAGCAGGCTTTCCTAGACTGCAGATTCCTACCGTCTAGGAATTGGGGGGTCTTTGTGTTGTTGATGAGACCTCATGGCAGCCCTGCCTGGGAGTCAGTGAGAAGGGCCCAGAGCACCCAGGACAGCATGAGGCCAAGGCCGTGCGGACCATCCAGGAGATGGGCCAGGAGGGCCAGGCCAGCTAAGGGTCTCCTGCACATTTCTTGTGGGGTTACCCTGGGGCCACTCCAGTACTCAGTGCTCTTGGCGACAGGCAAACCACAAGGGTTCCCACCCCCTTCTGCCTTTACTCTCCCTATTCAGAAGTTGCAGATTCATAGGATTTTAAGTCATAAGCCTTTTTTTTTTTTTTAAAAGGTCACCTAATCCCTCACCCTAAGTTCCCCTGGAGCTGGTCCCAACCCTGGGAAAACCACTAGGAAGGCTTGGCCAGGCCTATGCCATTCCCACCCTGCTCAGCCCCAAGATGGGTGCAGAGATGGCGTCTTCCCCGTTTCTCTGAGCCCCCAGCTATGGCTCTGTCCTTCTCTTTCCAGCACGTTCCAGGGCTTTAAACCCAGGAAAAGGCAAACCCTGGAGTAGCTAAAGGACTCAACCGCTGTTTGGTCAAGTTCTTGGCCTGGAGACTCCAGCCAGGACATATACAGAGGACAGGAGGCTCGGTGGCCCCAGGCAGCTCAGAGCTCTCAGCAAAGCGGTGGCGCTGGGACAGAAGCCAACACCAATAAGAGCACTTGCTGCAGGCCACACTGAAAGCTCCTGGTGTGGGGCTGTCCCCGAGGGACCCAGGGCACCAGGTGCCAGCCCCCTGCATGTCTCCACCATGGGTCCGCAGGGGCAGGTGTGTGACATGGCGCCAATGCTCTCACAATGACTGTGGCCAGGTCATCCTGGCCTCAGTTTCCTCACCTATTCTCTAATGTCCCCTCAAGCCCCAAACTTTGATTCATCACTTCTCAATTTCCACCTCTAAAAGGTGTGTCTGCTTTTATGAAAATCTAACTGGTTCTATAATAAACACTGAAATGAAATATGCAGCCTGAAGCGGCTTACAGGAAGCCTTCCTACCCATGACCCAAACCTGGAAAGCTATTTTCCCCAAGCTGGGACTCTGGGTCCTGGCCCGTGCAGAGGGAATGGGGGAAGCCACCAGTTCACCTGCAACTCTGGGTCTTCTGTGTCCAGGCTCCAAGCCTCTGGATGCTTCACTAACCCTGGGCCCAGGCCTTTTCTCCAGCCGAGAAACAGGGCAGGGATCCCCAGCTGCACCTGCAAAGAGAGCAGAGACCTTGGGGCAGGGAGACGATCGTTTGGCCAGAGCCATTCTGACATACCCTAGAATACCAACCTCTCAACTTTTAAACAATGAGGAAATGAGATGGAAGACGGACACTTGGCCCATGAGGGAGCCTAATTCTGGTGGAAAGGCCCACTGTGGCCCATGTGTGTGGTGCTCCTGCCCTGTCTGGAGGGGGCTCCAGCAGGAGGCAGTGACTGGGGAGGCAGCTGGGAGAAAGGGCTCTGATCTTCTGATATGTGAGTGCTGCCCCAGTGAGACTTCCAAGGGCGTGTGGGGGCATCCTGGGCATGCTGGTCCACACTCAGCCCACTCTGCCATTTTCCACTACGCCCACTGGGTAGTGAGGAATGTGGCACAGCACAGGGCCAGGGCCTGTAAATGGAGCCTGGCAGGAGTTGGGGAGAGCTCCCTCCCCTGGCCATTTCTGGCCTCCTCGTCCTCCTCCCCCTCCTCCACCACTGCTTCTCCCTCCACCCCCTTGTCCTCCAGCACTCCTGAGGGGCCAGGCCAGCAGGTACCCTCTAAACTCTCTTTTCTCCCAGGCAACTGGGACCGGTCTCCCGTCCCACCTTCTGCTTTTCCTGCTGGGAGCAAACAGTGGGTCACAGTGAGACTGAGAAGCAAGGTGGCCTGGGGCAGCAGGCAGCATTTCTAGCTTTCCTAATGCGACACTCTCCAAGACGTCCCCCAGGTGGGGAAATCTCACTTTTGAGACTTTTTTGTTGATTGCCAAGTTTTACAAGCATACACTATTATTGTAGAAATACATCCATATCTGTCTACAGACAGGTGTGTATATTAGCAAGTGTATAGGCCATGTACGTGGCATCAAGCAGGTGGCCCAGACCTCCCTGCAGCTGCTCACCAGCACAGCAGCAGCCCTGCCCTCCCTCTCGGACACAGCTCACCCTACAAGGAACTAAAGCACCGCCAATGTACAAGACTCCCTGGCAAGAGCCAGGCAAAGTGACAGGTGGGACTCAGAGGATCCAGTCTGGACTCCTGGCCCTCTGGGGGATGCACGGGCAACCCCTCAGGAGACCCCAGGCTCACCTGCACCAAGGCTGCTGCAGTATCTGGGCTCTGTTCTCCTGGGGTCTTCACCAGGGCTGCTGCCACTGCTGCCAGTGGGAGTCCCACCGGGGCATGGGGACAGAGGAACAGGAGGCTTACAGCTGGGAAGGCGGTCCCTCTCTAATACCACAAACAAAGCTGGCATCAGAGTGATGACCAGTGCCCTGGAACACACCCCACCATCCTCCCTCCCCACACAGGCTCACCCTGGAGGAGCGGCCTCCAGAGTTCAGGCTCTGGCCTCAGGTCTTCTCCTTCAGAGCCGCTGAAGCTGGAGCTGGAGCTGGAGCTGGAGCCAGGGCTGGGGCTGGTGCCTGCCACGCAGGCAAAGCGTAAGGGTCGCACAGGCAGGATCCCCCTCAGGGCGCTCTCCAGACAGTGCAGCGGGGAGGGCTTGGGGGCAGGCCCTGGGCAGGGGACCAGAGAGTGCTCTGTCATCAGTCTGAAGAGAGCCAGGCCTCTGCCTTAGCGTCTGGGCACACAGAACCAGCCCCCTTTCGGCTCAGCCCACACCCAACATGAGTTCTGGGGGACTCTAAATGGCTCCCTCTCCTGCAATAGAAGTAGGACAAAAATGAAGCCAGAGCCTGGCCAGGACCCCAGCAGCTTTGGAAAGTCTGCCGGGGAACTTTCCGGAAATCTCCAGTCCTTGCAAGCCATTAGCAGTCAGGTTCTAGCCAGGCCTGGGTCTCACAGGCCAGGCGGCCTCTCCCCCAAGGAGGTGCCATCCCTGCACCTGAGTATCTCACAGGGGTCAGAAATCCAAGGGCAGGGTTCTGTTGGGGCCCGCCCTCATCTGGCTGGAGGGTCAGCAACACTGCATGTGGGATGCTGAATAGCAAAGGCATCCCACCAGCCCTGCAGCAGATCCAGGAAGGAATCCTGCTGGAAGTTAAACCAAGAAGCAGCAGTAGACAGCGGGAGCCCCCAAGAAGCTTCTCCACTGGACAAAACTGATGGATGGACACAATGATCTTCCCACCCCCACTTCTTGTCACTTTGTGACACTTTATCTTCCTGTTTAATGAACCTTAGTTTCTGTCCTCTGGGGAAAGGATGAGGCGTAGGGAAGGAACAGAGGGACCGAGAGGGGAAGTCTATTTCCTTGCCAACACCTTAACTAAAGTGTGGCTGTCGGCACTAAGGGCAGGTGCCAGCTCACCCTCTGGGAGCCACCTCCACACTCGTGGCCTGGTGGCCCCGGGGTCTTTGAGCCCCCGCTGTTGGCAGGCAGGGACGCAGCTGGAGGTGAACACCTGTGGGCTGGCCAGATGGAGGCTCCGGGTGGGCGCTTCTCCCCCACCCTGCCCGAGACGGGCTGACTCACAGGCCTCGGCCCTCAGTCCTGTTTTAAAGAGAAACCAGAAGGCCTGTCATCCCCACTGTGTCAGCTTCATACTGCCATAGAAGGGACAGGGAACAGTTTCTGCTGCTGCTGGGCTCTCAGTCACACCAGCATCAGGAGTCGGAAACACCCACCCTGCTGTGTTCCTGGGAGCGCCCGAACCCTCCAGAACCTCTCTGTTTCCAGACTCAGCTGCATGGACCCCTGGGGTCCAGACACTAAGACACGCGGGGCCAGCACGGCCAGGACAAGGACTGGTCAGAGTCCACTCAGCCTCAAGGAGCCAGCTCCAGCTGGGATGGTGGAGCCACAGAGAGTGGCGCTAAGGTGTTCCCGTCCCCGTCACTTGGATGCCAGCAGGTCTGCACATGTGTGCTGAACAGACTATCCGGCTTTCTGGCCTCCAGAAGGCTCTGCCCAGGCCTGTTTCCAGAACACCATGCTGGCTCAGGTGGGAATCTGAGCCCACAGGTGCAGCACCCAGGGCATTCTTGGAGATGCCCTGTCTACGGGCAGGGCCCCGGCAGCCACTATTACCTTCCTTGTCTGCTGTCCAGGTCCTGGGCTCTACTCTCCTCGGTCCCCTGTCTGCTGCTGAGGAGCAGGGCCAGGCAGGCCATGGCGCAGGCACAGCTATCTCCTTGAGACAGTTCTCCAGACCCTGCAGCGGGGAGCTTCCTGGTGGGCTTCCTGTGAAGAGCAAGTGTTCGAAAATGAGGAGGGCTGTAGCTCAGTCTCTGCAAACCGCAGAAGCCTCTCTTCTGCTGTGTCCAGGGAAGGAGGGTCGCGGGGGTGCTAGGTACAGAGCACTGGACTTGTCAGTCCTGGCCCTGGGGCAGCCCTGCTTTGGCTGCCGTGGAAGAGGCTGGACCTGTCTGGACACCCGCACAGAAGCCTGGCCTGCGGCTGTCATGAGGACACCAGCCACAGGTGTAGGTTCTAGTCCTCCTGAGCACACCTAGCTGCCACCACTGTGAGGGACGACGCATCCTGTGTGGCCAGCACAGGGGATGGCCCTGCAGATGGAATGTGCTAAGACTTCCTTCACCAATCACAGCAGGGGAACAACATAGGCCCCCCGTCGTCTGGGCCAGGACAGGCCAACACACATGCAACTTCAACTCAGCAAGAACTAAACACACCGCAAACGTCCTATTTCCAGTGACAGGTACGCGAGTAACGGGAACTAGATGGACTGAAACACTAGAGCGAGGAGAGCCCTTCCTATGGAGCAGACAGTGCTGCCACTCTCTTTCCTGGAGGTGTCTGCTGATGCTTCTGGGCCCAGGCATAGGGCGAGAGAGCAACCCTCAGAACTTCTGAATGTCCACGGGCTGGAAGGGCAGCGTGGAAAGCAGAGGACCTCCGCATGCATTTTCTCCACAGCACATCCACTGAGTTCTGGGGCAACAGAGGGAGCCAGGAGGTGGCTGGAAGCTTCTGAAAGGCAGTGTGAAATTTCCTGCAGTTTGGGTAAATTAGAAAACAAGCAGGATGCATGTAGCATGCTACCGAGTACCACGCTGCTGTTCCAAAGAAAGCGGTGCTGGTGGCCAAGGAATATGAACGTATACAAACAGGTCAAAGACAAAGGCTGACGACAGACAGGCTGGAGGGGACAACAGATGCTGCCCTCTGTGAGAAGGAGGGCAGTGAACTCACAGCAGTGGGGGGAGGGGCTGGAGGACAGACGAGGGAAGAAGACTTCATTTTTCCCACATAACCATTTTAGCTTTTGAATGAAGCTATGCGATCATATTACCTATGAAGTCAGTTGCATTTTGAGGAAAATGCCCCACACCCAAGGGGTTAATCCGTAGTGGGGCTTGGGATTTCAGGCTGCTGTGGATGCTGGCAGGTCCCAGGCCTTTTCTACAGGCCCCATAGGCCTGGCTAGTGCCGTGGCTGCAGCAAGAGGCCTGTTCAGGAAATATGTTTGCAGCCAGAACACGGGCGAGCGCGGAGGGACCAGGTCCACAGGACAACTCAGACAAAGAAGACTCGGATTATTTGGGTGGGGGAAAGAAGAAGGCCAAGAGGGGATGCTGAGAGTCCCACAAGAGCCCCAAGTCTGCAGCAATGACTCTACTGGAGTGACCAGGGAGGCACAGTCACCAAGCACACTCCTACGTGTCTCTGACATGAACCTCACTGTACATTTTCCTAAACTGCAGGTCAGTCTCATATTACAGGTAATTCTTTGTGGCTAGGGTAAGGAATTCAATGCAAAAGGAAATTGTTATATTTATTTATTTATCAGATGGGGCCTCACTGTCACCCAGGCTGGAGTGCAGTGGTGTGATCACAGTTCACCACAGCCCCAAATGCCAGGGCTCAAGTGATCCCTTGCCTCTGCCTTCTGAGTAGCTGGGACTAAAGGCATGTGCCCCTCCACCCAGATAATTTTTTAAATTTTCTATAGAGATGGTGTCTTACTATGTTGCCCAGGCTGGTCTCAAACTCCTGGCCTCAACTAATCTTCCTGCCTCAGCCTCCCAAAGTGCTGGTATTATAGGTGTGAGCCACTGTGCCCAGCCCAAAAAGAGATTTTAAAATAAATCTTAGACATTATCCTGTCTCTCCTGAGACAAGTCACTAAAACGGAGCCCCCTCTCCACTCTCAGCTCCCACAACCCACCTAAGATAAGTCCCACCTGTGCTCCTGCCTCAGTATCCCTGGCTCTGCTCTTAGCACTGGCATAGGGGTCTGACCCAGTCAAGTCAGAGAGACCAGGCAGGGGATGTCTTGAGTCTTCCTGATGAGTCCCCAGGATGAACCCCAGCCTTGGGCTGGCCCAGCTCACCTTTTCCAGCCTGCTGCCCCTGACTCCCCACAGGGCTCCCAAAATCCAGGTCCCAGTCGGTGCTGCTGGATGAGGAAAAGCTGGTGGGGGTTCCTCGGGGGGCCAGGGGCCGGGCGGGGACATCTCTCACACAGCCTTGCAGGCCCAGAGGCAGAACAGGCTCCCTGGTCGCTTCTGCAGGGAACAGCACAGTTGTGGTCACCAGGGGGCTCACTGGAGAAGAGACCCCTGGGTCCTGGAGTGCACAGGCACCAGAAGACCCTGTCCTAGGTACCTCCCACTAGGGTTTCCCTATGGTACTGATTAAATTCCTGCAGCACGTTCCCCACAGAAACCCCACAGTGAGTCTCGTGTGACTGGAGAGTTCTGAGAAGGAAGTAGGGCAGGAAGATCTGCACTGGCTGTCACCAAATGCGGGCAGCTGTTTGGGGGTGAGAATGAAAGGGGATCTAGAGGAGTGGGCCTGTGCCTCAAGAGACGGGGAACACAATGACCTCACAGTCCTCAGCATCTGCCTCTGCAGCCCACCCAGGGACACACACCCCACACCCATAGCCACAGTCTACCTTCACTGTGTGATCTGTGGGGCTGCAGTTCAGGCCTCTGAGACCCACAGACTCCTGGCTGGGGGTTCTGTGACCAAGAGGTGGCCGGTGGCTGCAAAGGTGATGGCCTGCTTGGGGGAATGCCCTTCAGACAGGCTTCCAGGGCTTCCAGCGGTGAGCTTGAGGCACCGGCAGCTGGGATGGGAGAGCACCCTGTCACTACCTCCCACACACCCCAACCTTGCCCATCAGGACCGTGGCGGCTGCGCCTGATGTGCTTTCTGCAGGGGTGATAAGTCCTACACCAGGCTCTGGGACCCGACAGGCAAGAAACCCTTCTGTGGGGGACAGATCTGCTCTTGCACCCCACCCCGCTCCCTGGAAGGCATGAAGATAGGAGGGGAGCAAGGAGGGACACATGTTAGCAGGGCCAGCGTCTGGGGCCAGGAATCACTGCAAAGTGAAGGTCCAAGGCAGGGGGGCTTGGGCAAGGGCCTGGGCTGAGGAGGACCTGGAGGAAGGGGTCCAAGGAGGACCACTGCTTGGGAAGGAAGACCAGGGGACAGCTCCCTGCTGAGAGCTGCTTTCCTGGAGTCTGGGGTAACCCTGCCAGGGACTGACAAGCACATGGTGAAGACCACCGGAGCGGCCAACCCCAGGCCTCACCTTCAGCCACAGTCAACCCCAGGCCTCACCTTCAGCCACAGCCAAACCCCCTCACCTTCAGCCTCAGCCAACCCTAGACCTCACCTTGAGCGTCAGGGCCCCAGCTGGCCCCAGAGACTCCTCTGGTGTCTCTGATGGCAGAGGGGCTGAGGGACTGTCTGCCAGGCTGAGAGGATGTGGGTCCTGGGGGGCTCTGGACCCAGTTGTTCTCCATCTTCACAGAGACCAGGCCACCAGCTCCAGGACCAGGACGGGGAGCGGGGGTCAGGAGGTGTCCAGACCCTGCAAGAAGAGGCCACTAGGAAGCCCAGGATTCAGGCCTCAACTCGCCTTGAGAGTCCCTTGAACCCTTAATAGGGTTAGGAGGGGCTTCCAAGACCCCTGTGCCTCCATGGCAGTCACCGGCTCAGACTGCTGTCACTTGTCAATCACCAGTGTAGAGACTGAGTCACACAGCTCCTCTCCTACCACGGCCCCTTGGGGTGCCTCCGAGGTTTCCTCCAGGCCTTAAGTCCCTGGACAGCACCAATCATGTCTTTCCCCATGGCCAGCATGCCTGACTCCACCCAGCTGCCCAGGGCTTTGTTCTGAGAAGCAACAAGCTGAGGTGACATGCACGGAAATGTGAACCCATGTGTGGGCTGGGTGGGCAAAATTAGGATTTGGGGTTCCCAGCCCTCACACACATAGCAGGAACCCCAAATTTCAGTTATGCCAACCTGGCTCAAACACACAGGGACCCTAAATCACAACGATGAGCTGGCGTCTGCTGGGCTAGAACTCTACCCTCACTTTCTTGGTCTTGCTCCCTCCCCACTTTCCTTTTGGTACGTCCAGCTCTTCCTCAAAGAGCCAGCCTACGAATTCTCAAGTGCTGCCCAAGCCCCTCCTACACAGCTTACTCCATTTACACAGTGGGGATCCCCTGCATCTGGCTCCACTCCCTGACAGGCCAGTGTTGGGGCCTGAGTGTCTATGGTGGGGCCACATACAGCCCTGCCTGGGGCAGGGTAATGGAGGACGTCTGGGGGCCTTCCCAGCTCAGTGAGAAGCCTTTACCTCCAGAACCTCTTTTCCAGGCCCCTGGATCCTCCTGTAGTCGTGGGTCCCCCACTCCTGAGGGACTGGGATGCCTGGCCTGGGCCTCGGGAAGCTCCTTCAGACAGTTCAGCAGACCCTGGAGGGGACAGTCCCCTGAAGCTGCCTCTGTCTTCACTAAAGGAAAAAGGAACACGTTTTCACCTGGAGCCCAGTATCCTCAGCCTTCATGACAAACAACAAACAGAGGACAAGTTAGAAGGGCATAGGGCCAACTCTGAAGATGAGGATCTTCCAGCGGCTCACAGAGTCTAGTGGGAGCCACCGTCTTCTCTGTGCCTGGGTCCACCCACCTGCTAGAAATGGATGGGGCAAAGAGGGAAGGCATGGAAGTCGCCCTGAAGGCAGACATGTGGCATGTCTGAGGACAAATTGAGAGAAGTGGGCTGTTGGGGTCACTGCTCAAGACCGCTCTGTGGGTCCTGAGCAGAACTTACATCGGAGATCGATGGAGTTGTACAGTAAGTACATGACTGCGGTTAAGCTCACCGTGACCCTGTGTGTGGGAATGGCCAAGGCTCAAGACATCAGCAGCTTTCAGGGTCTGACTCCAAGACCCGTGCCCCGGCCCCTACACCATGCTGTCCAGAGCCCAAGCCCACCCCATGCATCATGCCTGGCGTCAACACAAAGTGACACATGAGCACTGCAGTTCTTCCCCTCGGGTCCCAGGCTGGGAGGAGGAAAGGACATGAAGAAACCAGGGCAAAGCCTGCTTCCAAGTTTCCTTTTCTCAGCTAACCAAGCGCTGGCCTTAAGAGAGCCACCTGGCTCCAGAAAGGTGACACTGGCAACACAACAGTGGCCAAGCTGGTAACAATTCCTCAGGGAGACAGTTTGGAGCAGGAGGAATCGCTGCTGAAATGCAAACCAAGCTTCAGAGGCCTGGGCCTGAGACCCCAGCACTCACCTGCCCAGGGTGGGCTCCCAGGCCCCAGGTCTGCTTTGGATGGCCTGGACGTGCCCAGGCTGGGCAGAGGTGGTAGGAAGGTTGGGGATGTCTCAGGGTGCTGGGGCCCAGGCACGAGGATTTCCTTCAGACAGTTGATGAGGCCTTGCAAGGGGCTGTTCCCAGGAGAAATTCCTGTGGCACACACAAGGTTGGCCGACGTCAGTGCAGTCCTGACAGGGCCCCAGGGCTGCAGCAGGCACTCAGGTCTCTGGGCAGCTGAGAGTCCCGCCCATGAGAATATGTTTGTGGAGCTGCCACCAGGCCAGGACGGGGAGCAGCATGCCCTCATGTGAACTAAACAGGCCTCCCCTTCATCACACCCCTCAGGAAAGCCCGCCTCTCACCGGCCTGTGAGGTCCCTCTCTCCTGTCCTCCCTGGCTCTTCCTCTCGCCAGGGCTAAGGGTCGGAGGGCTGGGCTCCCCGCCAGGGGCTCCTGGGCCTTCCTTCCTCGTAGGCCATGGTTTATTGGCAGTTCCTATTGCAGGAGAAGACAGGAGGGCCTTTCTAGCCCCAGCTCCAGATGCCAGGAGTCACCTCAGATCAGATCTGGTCCCCGCAGAGGACAGCCCTCTCCAGCTGCCCAAGTCCCTGCTCCAGGAGGGCTGAGGGCCTTTCCCTGGTTCTTTCTGGTTTAACTGTAAACAGCAAGACTGTTGGTTCACTGTGAACACCCGAGACCCTTCCCTGAGCCCAGCCTCCAAATTTGGCTCAGCAAGTGATGTTGGCAACCTGGACATGTAAGCCACAATCTCACACTCACGCTTCTCAGACCAGGGCACACAGAGCCCCAGAGCAAGGGTGCCCAACAACTCCTGGACACCAGATGAAACCACAGCTCAATGGGGTATGTTTCTGGGGGGTGACAAAGCCACGCAGAAACCACCGTGAAAAAGTCAGAGCTGCCCTCTCGCCAGCTATGCCCATGTTCTCCAAGGGTGGCACATGGCCTGGCCGTGGGGAACAGCAGGTGACTCTGCCTCCCCACCTGTGACAGTTTTATTCCATATTAATTTCAATTATTTTTCATAAAAAGTTAGACAAATGCAAAATTTGTGAGAAGTTTTAAAAATAAAATGTGACCCCAGAGAAATCCTAGTAGCTCCCCTTGCCCTGCGCTGCTGTTAGGGTTGCCGTGATGAGATGATCTGAGGTCAGGCCAGTGCACACAAGTGTGCGAATGTTCCTGCCGCGGGCCTGCATGTTAGAAACTGCCGGAGGCTTTCTGTGCACAAGTACTCAGAGATCCGGGCAGGATAAGAGCCTCCCAGGGACTGGGTATCACACCTCTTCTTTGGTGTTTACACCAGAAGCTAAACATGTCCTGCTCCCTGGGGTACTTTGTCAACAAGAGAATGGAGCCACAAGGGAACTGAGTCTTAGAAAAAAATGAAGAGGGCATAGGCTCCAGGTTCCCTGATGCCGCAGTCAGGGCTCTTGAAATGCTGGTTCTCCCTATCCCTGCTGTGTCAGACTCACTGGGAGGGAGAGGACTTCCCTGGACTGCATCACCAGGTGGGCCACTGGAGCACGAGCTGTCGGTGGGTGTGGTGGCCAGGCGGGACTGGCTGGCAGGGCCGTCCGGAAGGCAGTTGAGCAGGCCTCGCAGAGGGCAAGGTTCTCTTGCCACAGCTGCTATCAGGAAAGAGGGAGAAGACAACAGCTGGTAAGATGCCCCTAACATGGTCACACGGTCACATTCTGGGTCCCTTCCTTGCCATGTGCTGTTAACAATGACCAGGATGTCAGCCATCACTGGGCTCTGAGTAGGGCCACGGGGCATGGGGGATGACAAAGTCACACAGAAACCACCATGAAAAAGTCAGAGCTGCCCTCTCCCCAGCTATGCTCACGGCCTGGCCATGGGGAACAGCAGGTGACTCTGCCTCCCCACCTGTAACTGGGAGCCCACACACTGTGCAGCGCCATGGACTCTTGCTTCATCGTGGGGAGTGCAGAGGAGGCTGTGTGTGCTGCCTCTGCTATCTGACTTACCCTCGGGGCTCGCTCGCTCTCCATCCAGGCTGGCTCCCTGGCTCTCACTCTCGGGGCTATCCATGGCACCCTTGACTTCCCCAAACAAGAACTCTGGGATCTCCTTCACCAGCTGCACCAGGGCGGTGAGGTGCAGGCTGTGCCGGGGCTGTCCCCCTGCAGAGACCACAGTGAGCCCCGTGCCCCTGTGGCTGCTCAGCACTCACACCTATGTGTGTGTTTCACAGCCAGCATCCCACACAATCCTCCCAGCCACAGGAGGAGCAGCCAGAGGAGACACTGTGTCCCATGAGATGTAGAGGACTTGGGCTCAGGCCAGGCACTCTGGCCAAGGGAAAGCCAGGGCATGGGGCCAGGGCCTGGGTAACAGGGCTCTTCTGTTCTCTGTTACTCATGAATCTCCCTGCCTCAAAGGGGGATGCCCAGGCGGGCTGCTTCCACACCTCTCCCACCATCTGGGCTCTCTGCCTTTCCCGGAACCCCCTAAATGCCCAGCTTCACCCAGTCTGAGCCAGTGGAGCACATCCACCATCTGAGGTCTTGGGATGTGAGCCTTGTGGCAGGACTTTTGGGAGCTGTGGGCAGGTTCTGCAGGGGTGGCTGGGATAAGGCTTCAGGGTGGTGGCAGGTGGGAGGCCTGAGGCAAGAGGCAATCTCCAGGGTGACCCCAGGCTTCCTCTGAGTGCTTCCCTGCATGACAGGCTTCCAGCCCAGAGGCATGAGGGGTGGAAGTCCAGGAGGCTGTGGTAGGGGAGCCAGGGAGATGGGAGGCTGGACTGGGCAGGCTGAGGTTGTGCACTGCCAGTGGCTGAGGACTTGTGTGTGGGAGAAGTCTGCCAGATAACTTACCCTGGGGACCTCCGCAACCAGCAGGCTCCTGCCCCTCATCAGTGCGGCTCCCTCCCCCAATAGCTCCTCCAGGCTCTGAGGGTGACAGGAAAGCAGAGAGGGGGAGCAGCTCAGCTGTCCCTGGGAAAGAAGAGGGAACTGTGGCCCTGGAAATGGAGTGACCCCACCTTGCACATGGCCACGGAGCAGCCCAGGCCACTGCGTGTCTGTGCATGTTCACATGATCACTTACACTCAAAGAACCACAGAGTGGCTGGAACCTCAGAGGCCACCGCATACCCCCCACCAAACTGTACATAGAACCGGGCCCAGGGACGCAGAACAGCAGCAGCGTGAACAATCCCCAGATGGAAAGACTAAGGCTGCCGCGTCCCAGGGACCATGGTCTCCCTTCCACCGCCCACCCGGCTCCTGCCGCATGTGCTGCTGCCTCCCATCCTTACCCACGGACACCAGTGTCTCGTAGTTCTCCCGCATCACGTCTCGGTAGAACTCCCTCTGCCCCTCCTCCAGGAGCCGCCACTCCTCCTCCGAGAACCTCACAGCCAAGTCCTTGAAGGTGATGGACACCTGCAGGCACAGTCTCCGGGGGGGTTGGTTGTTCTATCCCAGGGGGCCCAGCCTAGATGTCCCTGTACCTGGTGACCCTGCCCGGGCCTCCAGGTGCATGCTGGGGAGCAGGAGAATAGCCAGAGCCCGGGGCAGGGTATGAGGTAGGAATCCCCTCAGGAGACAGTGCTGGCGGTGAGCTGCGTCCCTGCAGACACCTAACCCCCGTGCCTATAAATAGGACCTTATTTAGAAACAGGGTCACTGCAGAGGGAATTAGTTAAGATGAGGTCATACTCCTAAGTAGGGGGTCCCTTAGTCCAGTATGACTCATATCCTTATCAGAAGAGACACAGAGACAGACACACGGGGAGAAGAAGGCTGTGTGAAGACAGGCAGAGACTGGAGCGATGCCACCACAAGTCAAGGAATGCCCAGGGCCACCAGAAGCCACGAGAGGCAAGAAGGATCCTGCGCAGAGCCTCGAGAGGGAGTGTGGCCCTGCCCACACTGTGACGTGGGGGCTCCAGGCCTGCAGAGCTGTGAGAGAATACGCTGCCATTGTTCACCCCATTTGTGTGCAGGTTAGAGAAGTGCTCAGAAGAAACCTGGGGCTGCCCTTGGAAGCTGTGGGTCACCAGAGTCCCCTGCACTCTGTACCCCATCTCCTAGTCTCTGTACACATCTCCTCCTATCCTGGGGCTTCTTAAAATAACAGGAACATTTTTGTCTACGTTTCTTTAAAAATGGTCCTTCAGTGGACTTTAACGTGGCCCTCAGACACTAGAAAATGACCAGCATCAAGAAGCTTGAATTTAAAATTATGGAAAAATTAACTGTGCAAATTAAGCAAACAGGAGGTAAATTATGGGAAGGGTCCTTCCTGTTGAGAATGAATGTTAAACTATTTATCTGTAAGAACGAATTCCTGAAGAAAACGAAACGCTCCTAATAAAGCAAAGATAATTCACCAGTTGTTTCATCTGCTCAGGGCAGTGATTTTAATTAATTAATAAAGACAGGATATTATTGCCCAGGCTGGTCTTGAACTCCTAGGCTCAAGTGGTCCTCCCACATTGGTCTCCCAAAGTGCTGGGATTACGGGCGTAAGCCACCATGCCCGCCCAAGTCAGTGATTCTAAAAACCGTCCCAGATCAGGTGTGGTGGCTTCTGGCCTATATGGTGAAACCCCATCTCTGCTAAAAATATAAAAATTAGCCAGGCGTGGTGGTGGGCGCCAGTAATCCCAGCTACTTGGGGGGCTGAGGCAGGAGAATCACTAGAACCTGGAGGCGTAGGCTGCAGTGAGCCGAGATCATGCCATTGCACTCCAGCCTCTATCTCAAAAAACAAAACAAAACAAAACCGTCCCTGTCCCATGCAGTCACACCTACCAGTGCCGGGGCAGTCCCTCCTGTGACTGCCTGCCTGCGGCCCAGAGGCCCATGGGAGAGGTCCCATGGCCTTCACCTCCTGCCTCGATGTGCAGACTCTCCCTGAGCAAACCTCTGTGGCTCTGGCCCAGGTATGGTCACTCCCTCTCAGGAACAGTCTCAGACACCCTCCAAAACTTTTCTGAAAGAGTCATATACATTTCTTCCTGGTGTCTTGGAACAGAGAAAATGTAGCCAACACCAGGGTCTACACAGAACAGCTCACAGAGCAGCTCTAGACCGCTGTCCTTAGGAAGGCAAGGCCTGCTTGGCGGGAGGGCCCCGGGCTGGCTTCTAGGCATTTAGGTGCCAGGAGGCTTCCCACCATTTCCTAAATGATGAGAGTGGCTCAAGATGCCTAGATTGCACAAACAACCTTGTGTGTGCCACACCCCTGCCTTCCTTCTGGGAGTCTGGAATTTTGGTTCATGCCAGGCAGAGGACTCCCACGTGACATTTTAGTGGCTCAACACAGAGCTCGCAAGGTAGGTCTGAGCCCTAGGTAAGAGCACCACATCAGCTGTGCTGGTTCCACTGGTACCACTGCTGGCCTGATGTGGCTGTTAAGAAGTTCTGGACCCAGAGGCTGGGGCAGAGCATGGTGACTGGGGCTTGGCCTCAGGAGCCAGGCTGCCAGAATTCCAATCCCTGCCTTGTTTCATATTAGTTTTGAGACCTCAGCCAAACCTAACCCATCTGGGTCTCAGTGAACTCACCTGTAATATGAGGATCACAACAACCTACCTCACAGAGATGTTGTGAAGACAAAACAAATATGGGAAGACTGCCTGGAACCAATGCAGGGACTATTAACACTAAGTGCTACGATTAGTAATACTGCAACCAGGCCTATCTGCCTAACACCCACTTGCAGGTCTGCCCCGCCAGCTGAGCTCTTCCACACACTGCTCCTGACCACCGGTGCCTCTCGCTCCAGGCTAAATATATCCCCACTCTTCCAGGAATCCTATGAGATGCTTTCCAGGCCTCTCACCAGCTCAGCCTCAAGGCAGACTGTTTTGAGACCAAATTCTTATAAAATGCAAATGGGAACTGACTGTGGCCAGGGTAGGCGCTTCTGCCAGTGGCCTCCCTCTGCCCCAAAAAAGCAAAGGAAGAGTGAGGGTTTTGTATGTGAGGGAGAGAGCAAGTGTGAGAGTGCAAATACTGGGCCACAACACTCGTCTTCGGGAGGAAGAAGGCCACCATGGCTGGCTATGCCCACGCACCACCAGACTTCCTTCTCAGGCCTCACTTCACCTCCATTCCCCAACTAATGGAGAAAAGCTTTCTGGGCTGATCCGGGAGGCTGTAACCTGGCACACCGGTCCTCCTAACACAGTCTTCCACTGTGTCACCAGCCCAGCACAAAAACTGCAGCTTCAGTGGCTACTGGACCTGTCCCTCTCTCAGGGTCCTTCCCAGCCCACACCTGCTCTCCAGGTGGGAGTGGGTATCAGGCTCGGGCTCCCAGATCAGACCCTGGCCCAGGACCCCTCAACCTGGAGGCTGTGCTCACAATCCCCTGGCCTTCTGGAAGCCCTCCTTGCTCCCCTCCACCTGACTGTAACCTACCACTCCCCAAGGTCACTCCTGGCCACCTTTTCCATGAAGCTACGTGGCGTGAGGATATTCCCCTCCCCAAACATCAGATCTGAAAGGTCAGTGGCCCAAACTCATCATTTTACAGAACAGGAAACTGTGGTATGTGGTATGGGGACGCCCTAGGATGGGGCCATGGGCATGTCTCAGCAAGGTTGTCCCTGGGCTACTTAACTGTGCAGCCAGCCCTGAAAAGGACACTTGACTGTCCCTGCCCAACAACATCCAATTTGCCTGGCCTCTCCTTTCTCCCCAAATGCTTGGGAGCACTAATGATGCCAAGGGCCTGGCACAGTGTATGCTCTGCCTAGCACACACTACCCCCCATCCATGGCGACCTCAGACTGGCCGAAGTTCAGGAGCCACCACGGTCGCAGAACTGGCTCCAGATGTCCATCCAGAAGGACGTGCAGCAGCTCCCCACTGGTATCAGCACCAGAGTTTCCTGGCATCGTTACAGCCCAAACAAAACTCAGCCCAAACGGTTCCCAGGCTGTCACAGCCTTGGGCTCTCCCTCCAGCTCTTGGATCTAAACATCTTACCTGGAGGCTGCCCAGGACAAAACTTGGGACTCGTTCTATCTTCTGTTTCTCCCCGTTTTCACGTCCCCATCCCCCCGGGATCCAGGATTCCACCAAAAATAGAATAGAAGTATGAGATTTACTCTCTCCCTCCGAGGCCTTCATGCCCACCCTACCAGGATAACTTTTAATAATAGAAGCCACGCCAAGGGGATTTCCCCAGGTGGATACTGGGACGTGGGTACCCGGGGGGCGGAGAACTGGAGGGAGGTTGTCTGAGGACCTGAACTTCCCGGCACGAATCCCCGAGCATCAGGCCTGCCCTGCCCCGCCCAGCCGATCCCGAAGTTGAGGGGTCCCAGCTCTTTTCCGCCCAGCAGCCTTCGGGGCCGCACTGCGCCGAGGGGTCCGCGCGTCCGCCTGCCTTACCTTGCGCGCCATCCCCGGACTCAGCCTCCCCGCCACTCCTCGGTTTCCGGCGCGGCCCCGCCGCGGGTGCGCGCGACCCTCGTAGGCGGCGGCCCAGGTCGGCGCAGGAGGAGGCGGGGCCCTGGGCCGCGGGGGAGGGGCGGGGATGAGCGCACCCGGGCCCCCCTCCAGCCTCGTTGAGCCCGCCCCGCGCGCCTCGCATCCTTTGGTGGGTGGTCACGTTTCAGCCCTGAGTCTCCAGCCGCGGCTGCCCGGCCGGCGTAGGCGCGGACTATACTTCCCAGAAGGCGCCGCGGCACCGGCCCGGAAGCGGGCGCGGGAACAGGGACGGGGAGGGAAACGAGGGGTGGGGCGGACCCGGCTGCGGCCTCGTCCCTGCCCCCTGCCCTTATCCCCGCCCACAGCTGCGGGCAGAGGTTGGGCTCCAAGACCCGCGGGGCCGGCAATGGGCGTGCAAGCCCACTGGTACGCGCTGCCCATCACCCATTCTTTCCCGCAGCCAGCACTGAGCGCATCCCATGTGCCAGGGGCTGATGCTTGGGATGAAAAGGAACCCATCTTTCCCAGAGGCTGCGGTCCAGGAAACCCGACCCAGAGTGGAAGAGGTCGAGGGTCCGTCCGGGCCAAGCCCCCGCGCGTCCTCAGATTTGTCGCCCGCTCCCCTGCTCCCCACAGCCGTGACCTACCTGCGTGTCACATTTTGCGTGCCTGTTTGCTGGTGTGGTAACCCCAGTTGTTCCTGGCACGTAGTAGGCCTCAAATAAACGTGTGATGCTGGAAGGAAGCGGGTCCCACCCTCCTCCGCCTCCCCCTGCGTTTCCCGAATTCGAAGGCCGGCTCCGGGCGGACTTGGCGAGAGCTGGGCGCTCCGCGGGTGCGGGCGAGGCGTAGCGAGCCTGGTTTTCCCGTCTGGAGAAGGACCCCCGTCATTTTTATAGAAGGTTCCGGGAAGGGGCCCTGCGGGGCTATGCCTGCTGTGCCAAGCAGAAGCTTGGAGGGGAAGGGGAGGCTGGGGTCCCGAGCAGAAGAAACGCTGCTCTGGGTTTGGAAGCCGGTCCAGACCCTGCGGACCACAGAGCGCTCTGCCTGAGCAATATCGGAGAAAAGGAAAGGGGATTCCTAGCTCAGCCGCCCAGGGCTGGCCCTTGCAGCCGCGCCGGCTGTGATCACCTCCTAAAATTCCGGGGTACGATGCTGACACCCCTTGACCCGGTCTCCGAGGAAAGGCGCGCGCCTTCCCGGGCAAAGCCTCCTCGGTCATACTCGAGACACCTTAGACAAAGGACCGGCGTGTGTACTGAACAAGGACTTGGAGATATCACCAGGGCCCCACCTCGCGAAAAGGGAAAACTTAAAAGTCCAACATCTCATCTCAAGAGCCCTACAGGCCACAGCCCTCAGGGTAAGTCCCCGCCAGGGCTTTAGGCCGGGTCCCACCTCCCTGCCGAAGTGAGGTGGGCTCCTCACAGTAATGTGTTCCTGCACCCAGCTCCTTTCCACCGCCCACCCTCTGGCCCTTGATCCCTAAACTTTAAAATCCCCTAAACCTGGCCGGGCACGGTGGCTCAAGCCTGTAATCCCAGCACTTTGGGAGGCCGAGGCGGGTGGATCACGAGGTCAAGAGATCGAGACCATCCTGGTCAATATGGTAAAACCCTGTCTCTACTAAAAATACAAAAATTAGCTGGGCATGGTGGCGCGTGCCTGTAATCCCAGCTACTCAGGAGGCTGAGGCAGGAGAATTGCCTGAACCCAGGAGGCGGAGGTTGCGGTGAGCCGAGATCGCGCCATTGCACTCCAGCCTGGGTAACAAGAGCAAAACTCTGTCTCGGAAAAAAAAAAAAAAATCCCCTAAACCAGGGGTCCCCAACCTTTTGGGCCCAGTTTTGTGAAAGAGAATTTTTGCATGGACGGGGAGAGGGGTTGTTTTGGGATGAAACTGGTTACATGTCAGATCACCAGGCATTAGATTCTCCTAAGGAGTGCTCACCCTGCATCCCGCATTCACAACAGGTTTCTGGCTCCTACTAGAATCTGTCACCTGCTGATCTGACAGGAGGCTGATCCCAGAGATAATGTGAGCCATGGGGAGCGCCTGTCACTACAGATGAAGCTTCCCCTGACTTGCCTGGCCGCTCACTTCCTGCTGGGCTGCCCAGCTCCTAACAAGCCAGGACTGGTACTGGTCCACAGCCCGTGGATTGGGGACCCCTGCCTTAAACACTTGCATAAAGAAATCTCCATCCAAGAAAGATGCACCTTTGTTTTAACATGTGTAGGTTCTTGGCACCTCTGATTCAAACTTCCACTTCCTGGCTAGGCTTCCTGCCCTGTTTGTGGACCATCAGTCACTAAAAGCCATTCACCAACATGAAATTTGCTGCATGGCCAATTACTTAAATTATGGAGACACTTCCTGGCACTCCCACCCCACAAATTTTAATTGCACTATTGACCTGGTACATCTGTATTAACCTCAGTCCCTATGTGTGTGTTAAAAAATAGTGGTGAAGTCCAGTCCTGAACCGGGTTTATTGGGTGGCTCTGGGGACAGACAAAGGCAGGAGTAGAGATAAAACACATCTTTAAAAAATCCTTGCTGGGGGCAGGCATGGCGGCTCCCGCCTATAATCCCAGCACTCTGGGAGGCCAAGGCTGGCAAATTGCTTGAGCCTGGGAGTTCCAAACCAGCCTGGGCAATGTGGTGAAGCCTCATCTCTACAAAAAATACAAATGTTAGCCAGGTGGAGTGGTGCACCCCTGTAGTTCCAGCTACTTGAGAGGCTGAGGTGGTAGAATTGCTTGAGCCTGGCAGGCAGAGTTGGGGGTGCAGTGAGCCAAGATCACGTCACTGCACTCCAGCCTGGGTGACAGAGCAAGACCCTGTCTCAAAAAAAAAAAAAAAAAAAAAAAAAAAATCTACAATTTAAATTGGTTGTTTAGCAAATTGATACTCGGTGGTTTAACTTTCACCCTATTTGGCTTTTGGCTATCTGGTCATCCTGTGACTTGACTTTTGGTGAACTAGTCAGCAGTTTTCCCAAATGAATCTGCTAGTTTTCTCTAAAGGCAAATTGTGCTGGCCAATCCTCCATGTGAAAATGGCTGCGACTTTAAAATATTTTCTAATTTTCATTATGATTTCTTTTTCCACCCATGAGGTTATTTAAAAGTACTTTTTAATTTCCAAATGCAAATCTTTTATATGAGTTACCAGTTTGCTTTTGAGTTTTGCCTTATAGCCAGAGAATGTAGTATGTGATGTTGATTTTTTAGAATTTTCTGAGACTGCTTTTGGGCCAAGTGTGCAATAGATGTTTGAAAATGTTCCATGTTTGCCTAAAAGAGTACATATATTCTAATACTGGTGTAGGATCTAGTGAGGGCTGTAAAATCAAGCTTATCGATGACTTTGTTTATGGCTTCTATAGCTTACCATCTTTTTTGCCTTTGGAACGATCAGCTACTAAAGAGGTGTTAAAATCTCATATCAAGATTGTGCATTTTTCAATTTCTCCCTGAATTTGTGACAAGTTTTGCTTCCTGTATTTGGAGGCTATGTGCTTACAAACTTAGAATTGTAGCCGGTTGCGGTGGCTCACGCCTGTAATCCCAGCACTTTGGGAGGCTGAGGCGGGTGGATCACGAGGTCAAGAGATCGAGACCATCCTGGTCAATGAGGTGAAACCCCATCTCTACTGAAAATATGAAAAATTATGGCTGGGTACAGTGGCTCACGCCTATAATCCCAGCACTTTGGGAGGCTGAGGCAGGTGGATCACGAGGTCAAGAGATCAAAACCATCCTGATCAACATAGTGAAACCCCGTCTCTACTGAAAATACAAAAAATTAGCTGGGCATGGTGGCGCGTGCCTGTAATCCCAGCTACTCAGGAGGCTGAGGCAGGAGAATTGCCTGAACCCAGGAGGCGGAGGTTGCGGTGAGCCGAGATCGTGCCATTGCACTCCAGCCTGGGTAACAAGAGCAAAACTCCGTCTCAAAAAAAAAATAAAGTTCTTTCAGTAAGGATATGTTAGAAGTAGATACTTTCTGTTATATAAAATGTCTTACATTTTTCTCACTCTTGAACGATAGTTTAGCTATGGAGAGAATTCTAGGTTCCAGGAGAGAATTCTCATTCATGCCTTCAATATTTTATTCCACTGTCTTCTGACTTTAATTGCTGCTGTTGAAAAGTCTGCTGTCAGTCTAATTATTTCTTTGCATATGATTTAACTTTTCTGGCTTCATTTAAAATCATCTCTTTACCTGTGGTATCATGAAGTTTCACTGCAGTTGACTAGGTATGGGTCTCTTATTTACCTTTCTTGGAACTCATGAGTCCTAAGTCTGAGGTGTCACATCTTTGTACAAGTCTGGAAAATTCTCAGCTATTATATCTTTTAATATTGCCTCTTCCCCATTATACCTTCTTCTTGTGGAATTTGTATTTGACATATGTTGACCCATTTATTCTGCTCCATCTCTTTCAGCTACTCTTTCATATTTTTTATTTTTTTACCTTTGTGCTTCATTATTAGTAATTTTTAAAAGATATATATTCTTTTACTCCTAAATCTCTCTTTAGCTTTGTCTAATGTGTGTTTAATCTGTTAATTAAATGATCAATTTTAGTGACTACACTTTTCATTTTACACGTATCTGCTTAAGCTTAAAAAAAAAAAAATGACAGGCCGGGTGCAATGGCTCACACCTGTAATCCCAGCACTTTTGGAGGCCAAGGCAGGCAAATAAAGGAGGTCAAGAGATTGAGACCATCCTGGCCAACATGGTGAAACCCCATCTGTACTAAAATACGAAACTTAGCTGCGTGTGGTGGCGTGTGCCTGTAGTCTCAGCTACCTGGGAGGCTGAGGCAGGAGAATCACTTGAACCCAGGAGACGGAGGTCACAGTGAGCCAAGATTGTGTGATTGCACTCCAGCTTAGGCAACAAGAGCAAGATTCCATCTAAAAAAAAAAAAAAAGAAAGAAAAAAGAAAAGAAAACACAGGTGTCCACACTTTAAATTCCTCATGTCTTTAAGATTTTTAACTGTTCTTGCTTTATAGTATCCCTCTTGATCTGACTTTATTACTTTATTTTGTTTGGTGATTCTCACCCAAAATAGGCTTGTTCCTTGTATATTTTATTACTTTGAAGTGTGAGGCCATCTTTAACCAGGCTTTATCAGTAGGAATACTGTACAGCCTGGCTTGAGGGTATGTCCTTCAGAGTTTGTTTTTGCTTCTTTTGGATACTCTAGAATCATTGTTATCCTGAGCACTTTTTATGTTAACTCAGGTTGAGGAATTTCTGAACCATGTAGCTAGTATAAATTCAAAGCCCTAACAAGTGTGAAGATAGGTGTATGGTTATGGATTCTCAGGGGTGATGCCCTCCACCTCCCCAGGAAGAGGAAGATGTCTTATGTTCTTATGCGAGAGGATACATTTTTTTCTATGCTTTTACTAATATTATAAAAGTTTGACTTGTTACAAGAGAAGGGAGACTCAAGTCTTAAGCCAAATCTCCTATACTCACATGGCTGTGAAAACTGAAACACCTTGGTTAGCTTACCACAACCACCACAGGCATTCCCAGGGTCAGCCCATATTTACCTATCAGGGTTTTAGTTCATCCCCCACTGCCCCCGCCAGAGATATGCCTTACTGTTATGAGAGCTCAGAGACATGTGTAAGAATATACATTCACTATATCTTATCTTGTATTTCTGGGTGTCTTGAGGTAGGAGGAGTTTTGGATTATCTAGTTAAGAATGTTGATGGTAACAGAACATTTCATTTTAAAATAGCACCCTTATTTTTTTGTTCAGCTATCCTTTTCATTGCTTGATCATTTCTTCACTGGACTATTTTGCTCACCATAGACAGTTCTTGCTTATTTCTGCCTTTCCTGTGTCCAGCATTGAGTAGGAATCCAGTGACAAGTGAATGAATGATTCCATAGATGAATGTGCAATTGAGAACCGCTGCTCTGATGTCGGGAGGCATTGTGAAGGTAGAGCAATGTCAAAGAGCCCACGCCTCTGCAGGGACAGTGGATTGGGGCAGTGTTATGCTTGAGCTGGCCTGCAGGAATTAGCACATCTTCCCAACTCCGTGTTCATGATCTCATATTTGTAGCTTGAAATTAGCCATGGTGGGATTATTTTTCACTCCGTGAAATTGGAAAACACTACAGA